CTTTACACCTGTAGCTAAATTACAACTAGAAACACACCGCTCAAACCTTATAAGTCTAGCTTCAGAAGAATCAACATACTTCACATTCTCCCGAACTTTCGCAACAGATTCATCAATGACTTTCAAACCTTCTTTGACCATTACGTTTAAGATATGGGCAAAGCATCTAACATGAAAATATTTGCCGTTAAGAGGTAATTTAGCCATTGCATCCAATTCAATTTGGAGTTTCCCAACCATAGAATCCATATTACTTGCATTGTCAATAGTCATACTACAAATTTTTCTTTCAATACCCCAATCTTTGATCAAACTAAAAACCAGATTATAAATTTCATGACAATTATGGGGAGGTGGAAAATGCCTAAAGTTCAGCACCTTAGACTGTAATTTCCAGTCATTATCCACAAAATGGGCCGTAATAGACAAATAACCACGAGTAGTACAAGTTGTCCATACATCACAAGTTAAGGACACTTGTTAAGGCCTTAAACGTATTACGAACATATTGCTTTAACACATCATGCTCTGTCATGCACCATTTCAATATTGTGTTTTTAGAAATAGTTCTAACCTTGGAATTCAAATATGTATGCAATTCCCTAAACCCCCCATGTTCAACAATACTTAAAGAATAACCATGCTACAATATAGCTCTAGCAAATAACTTACAGTATTCTTTTTGGTCAAATTCAGATGCATTAGACTTAGTAGACTTATCTGAATCCTTATATTGTTGGCACCTATCAAGGTGTCTCTTTAGATTAGACGTACCAGTCGAACCACTATGTTTCTAGATTAATCTTTTGCAAAACTTGCATGCAGCATTTTCACCATTAATGTCAAAATTCTGCCAAATAGGAGATCACTTTCCTTGAATTGGAGATATTGATTGATGGGGTTCAGGTGTTGGTGTAGCATTTCCAACACTCATGCATGTATTTGATGCTTGCTCAAACTCAAAGTCACCCACGACACCAAACAATCAGGCAAAGATTAGGAGTAAGACCAATAAAAATGCATAATTTATTTTACTATTTTGTAATAAAGAGAATTTTGAAATATATTTTGTAATAGTAAGACATATGATTGCCAATATTTTGTTCTACTCTCAATTCATACATAGTACTTAGTAAAAGAGACATACAACACCTAAAATCGAGCAATTGTGACAGCAAAACCAGAAACTTATAAATCTGGCGATTCTATGTACATGCAAATCAATTAATTTTTGCCAATTACTTTACAATGGCATATAGTATAAGATTGATACATTAAATTTCACGTCACTGGATAAATTTATCATTCATTCAATTTGAAAAGCAAAACGTCAAACTATTAACAGATCTAAGCAGATATATAGACTTTCCCCATTTCTTTTTTACTACAATACTTAGACTCTTACACTATTCACATACTCTACTTTGATGGAGTTTAGTGGTTTATATATTAGAATAAACATAGTGACATTGTGATAAGGGAATCCTCATTGGGCTAGTAATCAGTATATACATATGAGTAACAAGGGACATCTCTACGAAGACAAGAGAAATTCTCTACAGCCAATCACAGCAAAGCATAGCAATGAAAGCCAGCAAGCCCACTCTATTCAAACCTATATATAACACGCATGACAGTTGCAAGAACCACATCTACAGTGGTGGCTGACCGGAAATTGACCATATGCACACCAAAATTCCTTTAAAAACACTGAAGATAACAAGTTTTATTGTTTCTGAATCATTATCTCCTTAACTGAAGCATATTAATGGAATCTTATCAATTATAAAAATTTAATAACGGTCCCTCTCACTAACAGAGCAATTCACACTTCAAAATGAATTATAATAACATTAATTAGAATTACTATACCTCTTTCAGCTGCGTAATCAAATCCATCCTCAGCCATGATAGTTTGACCCCTTTAACACCAAAACATATTTGAAAGGAATGGTGTCCTTCGAACAAGTGTATTCTTCCGATAGAGGGTTCAGAATTATTACAGAGCTAATTCTTCAGTAAGGTTAAGTGATCGGAATGCCTAGGTGGAGGCCGCTTCCGATCAGTAATATCGAGGTACAATTGATATTATAGCTTAATCTTAACTGAACCCTTCGGGTCGAACCCAATCGAATCACCGATCCGAGACGACGAATTAATCTGAAAGGATTTAATGAGTCGACAGAGTTTTACGAATACAGACGTCGAAAATCGAGCCTAGGGCGTCGAGACCGAACGTCGCAAAATCACAAGCAACAAGTATGAGCGTAGCCGTAGCTAGGCATAGCTCATCGCAAGCCTAGGCGCACCATGTGTGTGCTAGGCGCACCATGGTGTGCTAGGCACTATCGCAGCCTAGGCATGCCCTGGCAGCCCATCGCAAGCTAGCAGCATGCTAGCATGGGTGCCTGGGTGCGCATGGCAGCTATCGCAAGCCCCACAAGCACCAGGCAGCCTATCGCAGCTAGCAGCGTGCTAGCCTGGGTGCCTGGGCGCGCATGGGCACTATCGCAGCCCCCTAGCACCACGCACAGCACCATCGCAGTGCTAGGCACATGCGTGTGTGCGCGTGCGTGTGCACCATAGCACAGCTAGCTGGTAGGCAGCGCTGGCCTTGCGTGAGTGCTAGGGACCATCGCAGGCCACGCACCAAGCACAGCTAGCTGGCAGGCAGCACTGGCCTTGCGTGAGTGCTAGGCACCATCGCAGACCACGCACCAAGCACAGCGCTAGTGCGTGCTGGCTCGAATGCACGTAGCTGTGCGAGCATGGGCGAGTGGTGCTAGCGTGCTAGGTGTCATGCGTATGCTGGTCATGGCTATGCTAGCTATGCGAGAGCCACGCATGCATGTGCGTGTGCCTGCGATAGCAAGGCAGCAGCTCCCAGCGCCTAGCACAAGGCGTGGCTCGCTAGCAGCACGCAAGTGCTGGGCTGGGTGATGCGTGCTGTGCCAGCCAGGCATGCTAGGTGGCTATGCGTGCTGGCAGCACCATGTAGCAGCCAGCCCAGCTGCCTTGTGAGTGGCGGTTTAAGGAGAGGTGGGGACCAAAGCCACCAAGCTTCCCTTGGGGAGCAAGGCAATGGTCCCCCCCATGGGATATAGTCCTCACCTAACCCATTCTCTCCTTTTGCCACTTGTTGGCTTGTGATTGCTTTTGCCTAATTATTTAATTTTGAATTAAATAAATTATTGCAATTGCACATGATCCCACATTGATCATGAAAAGGGTTTCAAGTCCCCATTCTCTATAAATACCCACTTGGTTGGGATTTTGAGAATACAACCTTGAGTGGAATTAAAAAGGCAACTCTAAGAAAGAATAAAAACCTTTGATTCGTAAAACTCATAGTTATTTTGTCCGGGTCTTGACTAACCTTCAAGACTTAGGACGCTCGGGTCGGGTCGAGGGTACGATCCGTCGGAGATCTCGTCTTTTCGGGATTTTGAAGTAAGAGCTCTTTGGGAGCGAAGCACGCGTTAAAGGTATAATTCTTGTTTTTAATCTTGTTTGATTAAGTTTATTATGCTTGTTAATTGTTTTAATTAAGGGGCGGGTCTTGGTGGGTTTCCTTCTGCGTAGTGTCGGGTCACTACGAAACCCTATAGCGGTATCGGAGCCACGCTCCTTTTAATTTTTGCAATTATTTTTAATTAAGGTGTTTTAAAAGAATTTAATTTTCTGGTTCATGTTCATCTAATTAGATTAGATGCTTGTTTTAATTATTTTTTAAAACTCGATTTTATTTTCGATTTGGCTGTCGAACCCATATTTTGGCTCAAAAATAGTGATTTTTGGGTGGAATCAACATTCTGGAACTGTTTCAACCCTTTTAGGATTGTCCAGAAGCCAAATTCGAACCAGAAACCCAATTTTTCTGGGGTTTTTTCGTTTTTCAACGAAAATTTTAATTCTTTTTAAGCCTTGATTAATGCAAGCATTACAAGGTTTGATTAAATGCACATTTGCATCACTAATCTACTGGTTTTAAAATATCCTTGAGCATAATAATGGAGTGTTTATTAGTGCTTAAGTTGATATACCAATTTATCACATAAACTTGTTTTTCACAAATTTTGCAAATAAATTGCAATGAGGTGTGAAAACTTGTTGTGATTTTGTATTTTAAGTTCCCAAATAATGTTAAAGTTCTAATCTTTAAAGGTTTAAATGATTGGAACCCTAAACCTAAATTCCATGTTGAACAAAGTTTGGATTTTTTAATGTTTTGGTTGATTAAAATCCATTAAGTTCAATTACTTGTGAGTAAAATTTGATTAATCTTCATATTGGAAGATGTAATCTTGGTATTTTACACAAGTATGCAAGTTGGAAAATTTTTATCATTGGATGGTTAATTTATTTTTCCAACTCCCATTTGTCAAATCCATTATTAATTTTCATATTGGCAAGATTAATTTTGGACATAGCTCATTTTATTTTAAGCATAAAGTTTGACCTAATTTTTGTTCAAAATTGAAATTTTGGATAAATTTAGGCTTGTGCACCAATAAAATAAATTTGTTTTAGTTAGACTTAATTTTATTTTATTTTTCCTCAAATTGATTCTAAAATGTAATTTAGAATTAATTAATGTCACACGTAAATCGGGATTAAAAATCCCGAGTCATAACACGCAAATCAAGACAAAACACCCAAGTGCCACCAAGGCTAGCCGGGCTGCCTAGCAGCCCACATGTGGCTGCCTGTCACTAGTAGAAAAAACTAAATAGGCACCCCCCTATGGAAGCGGTTCATGAAAACCGTTGCCAACTAAAATGAGCGCCAATTAAAATTTTAGAATTGGCAACGGTTAACCATTGCCAACTGTTTTTTTTTTTTAAAAAAAAAAAAAAATAGGTAAGAGTTGGCAACGGTTAACCGTTGCCAATTGATAATTTTTTTTTAAAAAAAAATAAATAAAAGGGTTAGAGTTGGCAACGGTTAACCGTTGCCAACTGATTATTTAAAAAAAAAATAAATTAAAAGGATTTTATAAAAAAAAATTCGGGCTTCTCCTTCCCTCAGCCTCTCTATCTCTCTCTCAAATTCATTCTCTCTCATCAACCCTCTCTCCTTTTATTTTCTGATCTTTCATTCAGAGCTCCTTCGTTCTCTCTCATCTCTCATCCGCATGCACCTCAGATCTCTCTAAACTCTCAAATCCTTCGTTCTTCTTCAATTATAGCAACCAAGCAAGGTATTTTCTTGAATTTTTTTGGCTTTTTTTCGTGTTTTAATTTCTGGGTTCGAAATTTTTTCGTTTTTTTGGGGTTTTTCTAGGTTCGAATACCTGGTTTTTTTTTTCTCGATTCTTTCTCGATTCTTTCTCGGTTTCTTAGTTTCTTGAATTTTTTGGGTTTTTTGGGTTTAAATTTCTGGGTTCGGATTTTTTTCGAATTTTTGGGTTCTAATTCCTTTGGTTTTTTCTGGGTTTTTGGGTTCGGATTGTTTTCTGGGTTTCGAATTTGATTGGTTCGAATTTTTTTGGTTTTTTTGTTTAAATTTCTGGGTTTCTGGGTTCGGATTTTTTTCGAATTTTTGGGTTCGAATTCCTTTGGTTTTTTCTGGGTTTTTGGGTTCGGATTGTTTTCTGGGTTTCGAATTTGATTGGTTCGAATTTCTTTAGTTTTTTTGTTTAAATTTCTGGGTTTCTGGGTTCGGATTTTTTTCGAATTTTCTAGGTTCGAATTACTTTGGTTTTTTCTGGGTTTTTTGTTTCTAGTTTTTATGTTAGTTTTTTCTGGGTTTATTAGGTTCTAGATTATTGGTTTTTTCTGGGTTTATTAGGTTCTAGACTAAAACGTAACAATGGTTTTTTCTTTGTTTAAAGTTCTGGGTTTATTAGTTTCCAGGTTATTGGTTCGAAATTTTTTCTGATTTTTGGGGTTTTAATTTAATTGATGCAGGTAGTATTACAACTAAAACAATTGCTCATAGACGAAGGATTCAAGATCCAAGGATTTGGTGTTTTGTTGTTCATTGTTACGTTTTTATTTATATAATTTTTTTATAAATTGTAATATAACAATTTATTTAATATAATATATTCATGTATATTATGGTGTTCATTGTTGTTCATTAGTGATTACTGCTGAATGATGATACGATTCTGGTGTTTTTTTTTTTTTGAGAATAACGATTATGGTGTATGTTTATGCTGATTTTGAAGTGTTAAAAAAAAAACAAGTCAATGGCACCAGTTAATCGGTGCCAACTGCATTAAATTTAATTAAAAAAAAAGGCACCATAGCAATTGGCAACGGTTAACCGTTGCCAATTTGTTGAGTTGGCAACGGTTAACCGTTGCCAATTGCTTGAGTTGGCAAAGGTTTTGAATCGTTGCCAATTATTTTGGGATTTGGCAACCCTCTAATACGCAACGGTTCAAAACCGTTGCCTTTGGGGGGGTTTGAACCGTTGCCAATTTGCTCTATTCGTGTAGTGTGTGGTGCGCACAAGGGTGAGCCATGATGCTGCTATGCGTTGTTGTGTGGCGGGGAGGCATGGCTGATATGCGTGGGCAGTGGCTGGGGCTGGCTTGCGAGGGATGCTGCTGGGCAGCAGGGCAGCAAGCACCAGCCCAGCGCACCACGAGCATCAAGAGGCGCTTGCCCAGCAGGCCAGATGCTCGCAGGCACCAGCATGCTAGCAGCACTGCTTGCTAGGCACAGCAGGCCTCACCCACGCACCATGGCGCCATGCCATGGGCTGCCTAACAGCCATGGTGCGCACCCACCAAGGGTTTTGTTGGGTGGTTTTGCTTAATGTTTGGGCTATGATTTTGCGAACTTTTTTCGTGTTAATATTTTTTATTAATTATTTTAACGAGGCTAAAAACCTCGATTTTCGATTTTGCAAAAATTTTGACAAATTATGGGTTATGGCGAATTAATTAATCGGATTAATTAAGTACGGATGCAGAATTTAGTGGGAGCTTAACTAAGTGCGTTAGCATTTTGCGTTTAGAAATAATGGATTAAACTACCTTGACTAGTTTTAATTAGGCGCGTTAATTGGATTAACCACCTAAGTTAGTTACTAGTTTTGCGTGTTTAATTATGTATTTCGTAAAATTGCATGGGCCACTCACAAATAGTGAATGGGTGAATGGAAGAATTGTTTTCAAAATAGGTTCTTTGAAAATGGCAACTAGTGGGGCCCGACTAGGATAGAAAATACGGACTGCGTTCCGTTATGTATTTTTGTAAATCTAAATACGGTCTGCGAACCGTTAAGTGTTTTTGTACTATTAGATTAATCTTAGTCGTTCTAGCTAGCTTCTTTTATTTCATTTTGGCTAAGATGTCTCAAGACGGCGTTTCGACGAAGACGAGCCAAGATGAAGACTCATGGAAATTGAAGATTTCAAGGGGTCATGCTAGTTGCCAAATGCATCTATTTTTATGCCTTATATATTGCTATTATATATGATTGCTAGATGCATGTCTAGGATTTCTGTTATGTTGCGACGATTAGTTAAGTTCACTTAAATCAACCAACATAGAAACCCTAGGTCCCTTAATAATATTGAGCTAAAATTTGTCGTTCCAAGAACAACACTTACCGAACTAATGCGCGTACGTGATGGATTACGCCAAAGCGAGGCATCACTACTTCCCTAGGAACGTAAGGTATACTAGGTATACAAGTTGTCTTGGTTAAGCTCAACGATATCAGTAAGGAGTCCTTAGATGTCGTGGCAAAAGAGATAAAATTTCAAGAATGCATTAGATGCGACATTTTATCAAACCGAGAGTAGCTTGGAGCTATTAGAAATTGGATTGCTTACCTTAAGATATTTAATGATTAAGACAATCCAAAGCATGCTTAACCATTTCTTAATCTTTGGGATCTCGGAATCATTTCATTCTCGCCCATAAGGGACAATTTTTTAATATGCGTGGATAAAATGTTCAATAAGATTGAATATATGCATGAACATTTAAATTTCAACTTATTGATGTATGAATGGTTTTTCACTTCAAATTCTTTCAATTGTAGAATCATGTCTGCAAGTAACTCAAACAACAACCAAATGTGCCCGGAACTCCCCGAAAAGTTGGCCTTTCCCTTAAACTTGGTCAACTTTAAGGAATGGGAAGAGGGACTCAGGAGAACTCTCCGAAATTGTTCCTTGGAGTATACCCTTGATACTCCCATTCCTAGCTTCTTTGCCAAGGGAATCATGACCGATGAGGCTCATGAATAATGGTCTTCCAATTGCAAAAGAGTCTCACGACTCATGGCAAATTCGATCCCGGAAGATTGGAAGGAAACTCTTTCCTCCTACCTTCCAGACATGTTCCTCAAAGAACTTGAGGACGTTGTCAATGTAAGAGTCACCAAGAGTGACAATGGCAACTTTGATGGACTTGTGTTTGACTTGAATAGGTCACTCTCAAACATGAGGATAAAGCCGCCAAACGTGGGATGTCTTGCTAAGGAAAGGCGACGGCTTTGGATCAAGGTCTACAATGCTAAATTAAGACCCGGCATGCCCCTCTGACCTTATGTGCTTGGAATGACTAGACTCTTCAAACACATGCAGCTTCTCAGAATTCCATTGGAAGATGAGATGGCGGGGCATATCTTGCTTGCTTCACTCCCCTCGGGCTATGATGCACTTAGAGTGCATATCGCTGCGGGAAAGGAGACACACTCCCTCAAGGAGGTGGTGCAACTACTTAGCCAAGCCACCGCCTATGGAATGAACAAAAGGCCCTTGAGAGCTAAGAAGAAGGAGTTCAAGAAGGTCAAGGCAAAGATGAGATGCTTCCATTGTGGCATGCAAGGCCACTACAAGAGGGAATGCATGCTCGTCAAGGAAGAGGGGATCACTCCGACTACCTCAGGTATCTTCCTTAACACTTGTGGATTAAGCTTATCATAGGTATTAGATACCAAGTATGACTCACTTATCAAGTGTTGGTGCATGGACAAGAAGACGACGAAGATGGTTTTTCGGTCGTGCTTGCATGCACTATTTTGTCTATGACATGTTATTAAACTAATTTTAGTTTTTCATCATGCTTTGAACATATTATGATCCACGGTGTTGGAAACCTACGATTTTGAGTGTAAGACTTTGACAATAGTTGTTTCAAGTTTGTCTTACAAATTTATGTTCAATTAAATTGCATGTTTTACATATGATTAGACAAAAGTTGATACCACTAGCTAAGACCATCGAGTCGAATCAAACCTACTTGTGGCATTGTCGTCTTGGCTATATTAACATCAAACGCATCAAGAAACTTCTTCAAGAAGGTGTTCTTGACTCATTCAACTTAGAGTCGTTTGAAAATTGCGAAGGATGCTTATTAGGCAAGATGATAAAACAACCATTCTCCAAGTTAGGAGAAAGGGCAAGTGATTAGATCTAATACACACGGATGTATGTGGACCAATGAGCACACCCGCAAGGCAAGGTTACCGATATTTCATCACTTTCACCGACGATTATAGTAGATATGGCTATGTCTACTTAATGTCGAATAAATCTGAGTCCTTTGAGAAATTCAAAGAATTTCAGAAAGAAGTTGAAAATCAACTTGGCAAGAAAATTAAAGCACTTCGATCGGATCGAGGTGGCGAACATTTGAGCCATGAATTTGACGATCACCTAAAAGAAAATGGCATTCTTTCAAAATTAACACCTCCCGAAACTCCTCAATGGAACGGAGTGTCCGAACGGAGGAATCGGACCTTGTTAGACATGGTTCGATCAATGATGGGTCTTAGTGAACTCCCTATCTCTTTCTGGGGACATGCGCTACAAACAGCAGCACTAACACTAAATAGAGCTCCGTCAAAAGCTGTTGAAAAGACTCCATATGAATTATGGACTAAGAAACCTCCCAGGTTGTCTTTTCTCAAGATTTGGGGATGCGAAGCATATGTCAAGCGATTAATTTCGGACAAATTTCACCCCAAATCGGATAAGTGTTTCTTTGTGGGATATCCAAAAGAAACCAAAGGGTATTACTTCTACAATAAATCCGAGAACAAAGTTTTTGTTGCTCGTGATGGTGTCTTTTTGGAGAAGGATCACCTTTCCAAAATGACAAGTGGGAGGAAAATCGAACTCGACGAAGTTCGAGAGGACGAGCAACAATGTCAACCTGACAAAACTGACAATCTAGATACTTTGGAAGCATTTAAGAAGATTGGTCAGAATCAAACAGACAATGTAAATGCTCAACCGATTACCCTACGTAGGTCGCTACGGCAAAGATCTCAACCAGACAGATACCTTGGTATGGTCTTAACCGATGATCAGGACATCCTAGTCATGGATAGTGATGAGCCGGCGACATACAAGCAAGATATGACGAGCCCCGACTCTGCAAAATGGCAAGAGGCCATGAAATCCGAGATGGACTCCATGTCTGAAAATCAAGTCTAGGACTTGGTGAATTTGCCCGAGGGTTATACACCCATTGGTTGCAAATGGATCTTCAAAGTGAAGACATACAAGGATGGAAATGTATCAATATACAAAGCTAGACTGGTGGCAAAAGGTTATAGACAAGTCCACGGGATTGACTATGATGAAACTTTTTCACCAATTGCAATGCTAAAATTCGTCCGGATCATCCTAGCGATTGTTGCATATTACGATTATGAAATATGGCAAATGGATGTAAAAACCGCCTTCCTTAATGGAATTTTGGAAGAAACTGTGTATATGACACAGCCAGAAGGTTTTGTCGATCCAGACAACGCTGGAAAGGTTTGCAAGCTGAAAAAGTCCATTTATGGACTAAAGCAAGCCAGCAGAAGTTGGAATCTGCGATTTGATGAAGCCATTAGCAAGTTTGGTTTTATCAAGAATCCAGATGAGTCTTGTGTATACAAGAAGGTCAGTGGGAGTGATATTGCATTCCTAGTCCTGTATGTCGATGACATACTGCTCATTGGAAACAGCACAAAATTGTTGGAGTCCGTAAAGGGCTGGTTGGGAAAGTGCTTTTCAATGAAGGACTTAGGGGAGACACAGTACATATTGGGCATTAAGATCTACAGGAATAGATCTAAGAGGATGATTGGATTAAGCCAGAGTACTTAC